TCTTTATTTAACGTCGCATATACACGTTACATAATAACATTAGCACTGTAGTGCTATTCTTGCGACAAAACATATATATATAAAATTTAACAAGTATCACAGTACTTATGGATATACATATATAAACAAGATAACAATTCAATATAGATATGCAATCACAGTTTATGCAAAATATTACACAAAAAAAATAAAAAAAATAGGGAACACTTGTATGTCGTGTTACACAGCATGACAAGTTAAGACACTTTCATAGCGTACATATATGATAATGTAGCAAAGTGTACAAATTTACAGGATATAAACTAATATAGTGTGAATTAAAAAGAGACAATGAAGTCATAGATAGAAACAGAGCTATAATTATGATATTGTAAAAAGTAATGATCTTTTAAATAATGGAGCTCTAAAAGTTTCCAAAGGGGGACAACTCACACTATATGGCCCATGAGCAGACCTAAGTGACACATAAAGGAATTGATAAGAAATCACGAAAAGAAATCATCGAGATTACATGGGTTAGGATTTTGCAATCCTTTGACAGTCAGTTCTGAAATAATGAATAACAAAAATAAAGCAATATTTAAAAAGTTGCGATGTTTAGATTTCGATTTTTTTCCTTTAAAACTGTACTTCTGTGCTTGGTTTTGCCAGTGTTCATCTATTTTATATTGAAATTGTTTAAAATATAACTGCGAAATATGTTTGTGATAAGTGAGGGGCAAATAGAATGGGGTTGGGGGCATTATATCGAGGGTTTACTGTATTTCCTTGGACATGTTACAAGTATATCTGTTTTTCTCCGATACTTTACAATGTACATGTACGTATGAAGCGAGGCATGAAACAATGACACAGATAGCAGTCAATGAAAAAAACATTATAAATACAGAATGCAAATTATATTTAAATGTTTAATGTAGCAACGTTACAAAAAAAAGATTTAACTATACTAAATCAAGATTTATCTGGTAATATGTCATTTATATGTTTCTCTCTCAACTAAAATTAACCAAACAAGTATTCAAATACTAACATGCGATCAAGTCATTCAGATTTTAAATTAAGATTCAAACAGTTATAATAACGTATTTATCAGATCAAATATTTCCCCTTCAACCCGTGTCAAAGTTTCTTACCTGCATGATAAAAACAGTTTTAACATGTATTGTTAAAGATGGTTCTTTTTACTGAGAATAATCTTTATTTCGAACGTCTCGTCACAAAGTATTTCATAATCTAAATCAACTGTACATGTATTATTGTATATAGGCTTGGATAGCAACATGCGATTTTATTTTTAAATGAGAATGAAAATTCATCCTTGTAAAATATTCATATAATTTTTACAGAACGCCGAAATGAAAACATTAATGTTGTATTTAAAAATAAACTATTTATATTTTCTTTCATCCCGAAATGTATATGATCATGGGTATCACTGTTAAACTTTGATATATATACAAAGGAATGTTTTTAGGTCACCTGAGACAAAGTCTCAAGTGACCTATTGCGATCGCCTTTTGTCCGTCGTCGTCCGTCGTCCGTCGTGCATCGTCCGTCGTGCGTCCGTAAACAATTTACATTTTCGACTTCTTCTCCGAAACCCCTGTACCAATTTCAATGAAATTGTGCAGGGACCTTCCATGGACAAAGGTCAACAAAAATAGTGGCCGGTTTAGTCCCAAGCCCCCAGGGGCCTGAGGGGCTGGGCCAAAAAGGGTCAAATTGACTAAAATTTCAAAAATCTTCTTCTCCAAAACCCCTGAACCAATTTCAATGAAATTTTGCAGGGACCTTCCATGGACAAAGGTCAACAAAAAT